TGTGTGTGTGTGAGTGAGTGAGAGAGAACAAGGGATGTGCAGTGTGAAATCCTGGATAAGTACGTGCACACACACTCTTTTACATCAGACACACACACGTATATACTCCTGCTCTGTTGACAATGCAATTCCTCCATCTGACCTTTGACCCCTCCCCTGTGACCTCATGTCATAGGACCAGATTCTAGTTAGCCTGGAGGGACGTCTCTGTCTGTCGCTCTCTGTTTTACACATACACACACACACACTTTCTCTCTTACTTGTCACTTTCTCTCCTTTACCCCACACCACCTCGTCCTCCTTGTCCTCCCCTCCATCCACACACAACAACAAAAACAACGACAAACTTTAAAGTTCCTCTTCCCTTTCCTCTATTGGCTATCGAAAAGGGGTCAGCTGATAACACCGGAGTGGGAGGTCGTGGTCGGGGGGAGAGAGCCAGGGGAGAGGGGGTGAGAGTGTGCTGAGAGAGAGGGAGGAAGTGGGGGGCTGCTTTAGCATTCTCCTCTGGTATTTTTCTGTCTGTCGTTCTTTCTTTCTTTCTTTCTTGGCCCCCCTCTCGCTCCGTGGATGGAGACACGGTTATCAAGGCTCTCTGGGGACAGACAATATGGCCCAGACAATGGCCTCCAGTCCGAGGTGGTGGCGGTGGGGGGAGAGCGAGTGAGAGAGAGAGAGCGAGAGAGAGAGAGAGGCCGGGATAGGGCCACAGGGGAAGAGAGGGGCAGAATGGCGCATTAGTTTGCGGAGCACGGACACTCTACTCAATTACTCTCTCTCTCCCTCTCTCTCTCTCTCTCTCTCTCTTTTACAGACGCGCACACACATACACACACACACACCACTTTAATCTCACCCTTTTAAATGAAGTACAGCAACACTTACACTGGAAGCCGCACTGTCACTTAAAAAGGGAACAAGTTTTTAATCACCACACCGCGAGAACTCTCCTTACAAAATAAAAGCCCATGATTATTAAATAAATACAAATAAACTGAGGGGCAGAACATGATAAGTGTAATTTTTTATTCTAAAATTACATTTTTTTTAAATCAGAAGTATCAGAAGTATCCTTGGGAAAAATACATTTGAAATAGCAATATGCAGAATGGCTCTTGATGTCATGTAATAATAATTATTAAGACTGATGCCCTAAAGTGTAAGCAGCTTTTTTACTGTTGCACAGGGTCAATCTCATTCTAACTACTTTATATACAAGGTGGTTTAATCTATTACAGAACATCATATTTCTATAATGTGATATTTATTCTGATGTGAAATGTTAATTTGAAAAACAACTAGAAATACAGTGTAATCTTTGCAACAAGTATCTGAAACATAAGCAGAAAATAATACTCAAGTAAATATCAAGTATCTTAAAACTGTACACAAGTATAGAATGAAACTAACTGTAGTTTTACCACTTGAGATAAAGTGTTTGAACAAATAAAAAAATTTGTTCGTCTCAATGAAATTCAGTAAATAAAAATCCTTCAGGCTGTTGACGGCGTCCTTGTTGCTGAGTGCGACGCAAGTAATGTCAGATTGTATCAGACTGCGTCCTGCTTAAACTGGTCAAAGTGTTGACACATCTACTGTAGACTACTGCCACCACCACCATCAACCCCCCCCACAAACTTACTCACACACACATTCACACACACTCACACCCTAATAAACAGAGAAGACAAATGGAGGGGTGTGAAAATCCACCACTGCCTTAACACCACTTCGACACAGACCTCTTCCTCTCCCTCTGCCCCCCCCATTCCTTCACCTCCACCACTCTCACTTTTTTGTAAAAATGCTGCTTCTCCTCCTTTCACCCCTTCTTCTTCTTCTTCCTCGACATCAGCAAGGAATGTGTCAGTTTGACCACATCATTTCTTTTCCCCTTCATCTCTTCACCCCCTCCCCTGCCACAGCAGACTCCTCCAAATGTCTCTTTTTCTCTCCCCGTCTTTTTCATCTCCGTCCTGGTTGCTTTTGGATCCCTTCGTTTCTCTCCATGTGCACATTTCTGCTCTGTATGCATGAACAGTTGAGGCCGTATTTAGCGAAGGCAGTCTGCTTTCCACTATTTTCAGCTTCGGCTGGAAATTTTAATACAAAGCCGAGTGCCAAGAAAACAAAATAAAAAAGCACTTCAAATCATCAAATGAATAATTAGAATAAAAAAATTAAAATATCAAATAAGATTAATCACAGAAAACTGAACAATAAAGTATTTTTAACAGCCTAACAAGTTTAATCGAAAGACTTTTGCTGCCATAAATAAAAGGAGAATAAAAAAGCATGTTTTAAGCTTCTGAGCAGATCACTCATATGCCAGAAACAAATTTAGAATGCCAATAATTACTTCTAGCTTCAACAAAAACAAATCTGAAAGAAATAAAATACAACCTGTCTCCTAAAACTCTGACAAACTCTTCCTCATCTTCTATTTTTCATCAAGTGTGGCTCCAAGTGAATTTAAACAATTGGATGATTCAGGTAAAAGAGAAGAAAAGATAAAGAAGATGAAGTGTAGAAAAGTAAAAGAAGAGGAAGTATGATGACAAAAAGGAGCACGGGTAAAGGAGGCGAGCGGGCACTTACAGAGAAGCAGGAACGGAGAGCATCGCGACCACTGAGGCTGGAGCGCACACACACTGGCGATGCATGCATTGGAAGACACCCTCCTCTAGCTCGCTCACTCGCACACATACATCCATCCACATATGAACACACTCTCTCACACACATACACACACACACACACCCACACACGGCCAGAGCCACAGTGATGGAGTGCATTACTGGAAAGCAAGAGTTGTAAGCGCTCTCCTCCTAAGTCATTGTAATCCCTGCATTTATCTCCATACATTCTGCTTTTCTGTGTAATCCTTTAAATTTTTAATTCCTCCTAGCTGTTGTTATCTTTTTTTTCCTCTCCCTCTCTCTTCAACCACTTTGCCAGATTGAACGCTTTATTAAAACCACATTTTTGCCACATCTAAATGTGTTCTTAATTCAAAGGGGGCCCCTGAAATCCTCCCAATCCCACCCCGCCGACCCCAGTTTATCTCGGGGAAAAGAAAAAGATTAGTTTCATCGCGGGGCAAAACAGAGCGCTACTTTAATACAATAAAAGTCAAGCAGGCAATGGAGGAGAGGTGAGTGTGTATGTGTCAGTGCATACATACATGTGAGTGTGTGTGTTAGTATTAAAACGTTGGGTATTATAACATAATCTGTCTTTCGCAGCATTAGCATCCAACAACCATTATTCCACAGGCAAAAGCTCCTTGTGTTGACAGTGTCGGAAAAGGGACAAGGTTAGAGGGTTCACACCTATAAATGACGCACAAACATCAGAGCAACACACTGAGATTACTATTAGCATAAGGCAAGAATAATACAAAAACAACATACAGATAATACACAATAGGATTAATAAGGGTTTGCATGTATTTACTTTGGATGAAAGAAAATGCAAATAAAGAAGAAGCTGAGCAGTAGGGGAAGGTGTGAACATTTTAATTATTTTTTTTAATTGTTTAAAATAAAAATTAAATTCTCTGTGTATTTTTGACTTGTTGACAGCTTGTTGAAATGTTAAGCTGATACAGAGAGATGCTTTAAAAATAACTTGACGGGGTAAAGCAGAAGTAAAGAAAGTTGTGGTGAGCAGTGGAGATGAGATGATGAGAGGATCGCACACACACTCATACACACCTTTCTGTGTGTGTGAGTCTGTTTTTCTTTTCAACACAGTTTGTCTATGGAGGTTTTGAGTTGAATGAGCACAAGTTGAAGTCAGGAGGGACGGAGGAGGATAAAGGGAGTGATTAATGTCACTGCTGGGACAAACACATGCATGAACTCACACACACACACACACACACACACACACACACACACATATATATAATTCCTGCTTTGCATATAGTATCTCTCCCAAAAAGCATACAGTCAATCATCAACTCTTACCAACACTCACACATAAACACAAACACACTCCAAACTCAAACTCAGCCAACTCACTGAGACAACTGACATGTTCAGCACACACACACATTGACAGACTCCTCTCAAACACACATATCTTTCTCCTACGTCTGTCCCGTCTATCTCTGTCATCTCTGCGTGCATGTGAGTGTGTGCAGGAGTGTGTGTGTGTGTG